GGGGGGGGCAGGGAACACTTCCTGTCTGCGCGTTCCTTCCGGGCGAGCACTGGCTGTTTCTGGGTGAGTGCTCCGGGGTGGTGGGACAGTGACCTATGTGCGATGGGGGACAGAGGGCGGGGGCCAGGCCAGGGGTGCTGCTCTCGGCACCACGCACAGCAAACTTCCGCACCTGGGGCCTTTGTAAGCATCCAGACCCATCCTGGCTGGAAGGACGCGACGGCGGCAGGTTCTGCTTAGCCACGTACCGTGCACGAGAAGGACATCCTGTGGACAGTCCTTAGCCTGAATGTAATGAAGTCCAGGACCACAACCGGCGATCCAGTAATTAAATTCCAGGACCTGGGCGCTGCATCCCTTCCTGGTTCCGATTCCTCATTTGGCCGTAGGTGTCTGGAAATAGGGCATTTCATCCTCCTGTGCGGAGATCTGTGGTGGGCGAATCAGACACTTGTCAAAGACAGACTTTCTTAGGTGAAGAGGACATTTGCACCGTTAGGATCCCCCTCAGTATTGCTGCCACCCAGTCTCGCTTGGTGGCTTCGTGGTTGTGTGTTTTTCTTTCTGCTGCTGCTGCTTCTCTTATTCTTTTCTTCTTTTTTCTCACTTTGGTTTAGTTTAGCTACTAACAATCTGGGCTCTCAGGCCTGTCCTTGCTGTTCTCTGATCACCGGCTTAAAAATCTTGCCTTCCTACGGCGAATGACTGTTTAAAAATGTTTATCCACAGTGCCCTTCTCAGCCTTAGGGACTGTGTTTCCCTCTTGGCCTGGGGTCAAGTCCCACACCACCTGAAGTAAAATTCCATCTCAGCCAAGCCTTCATTGATTTCTAGGTCTGGATCAAGGATGGCATTCTGAGGCAGAGACGGGTACCTTGTTTTATTCAGATGTGTTTCTGACAAGTTGTGAGGCGATCGCATCTCTGTAAATGGAATCATAAATTAAGTGTCCGAGCAAAACTATCTTTTAAAGACAAACGATGGTGAATCCTTTTATGAAATGAAAATGACATCTAAACTATAGCTTTGCATGAAGTGATTTTTTTTTAAAGCGAACTCTTAGTGATTTGCCCCACATGTGGATAATTGTATGTTAACATCGCCAGCATGGCCACTCCACAGTGTGACAGAAGCTGTTTGGTCCTTTTCAAGCATAGATAAGCATAAGCAGTGGGCAGAAGGGCCTCCCTGCTCTGAGAAACCACCTGTCTAACTGCTAAATCGTTTGCATTCACAGAATGATTTATGCACCACAAGGGCCCAGGTGTTTGACCCTCTTCCATCCCCATCTCTCTCTCTGAGACTGACAGGACTGCCCAGCTGAGTCACTGATAAATAGGGGAGCCCTTCCAAGTAGCGGTAGAGAATAAGAAAGCAACCTTTTTTCTCTACAGCTTTCCTGTGGGGCAAGTCCAGTTTCTCACGAGGAAATGAGAGTGTGAGAGGAATCATGGGGCACTGGGCGTCCAGAGTGATAGGGAATATAAAAACACAAGTCTGGGAGTCTGAGACCAGGGTTCTCGCCCTCACTCTGCTCCATCTTCCTTAGCAGATATGTTAACCAGCCTGTTTTCTCATCGTAGAAAAGCCGGGGTTGAGCCGGATGACCTCTAAGGTGTCATCCAGGTCAAGCCTCCTGATTGGCTGTGAGGGGCCCGAAAGCAGAGGGTGCCCGTAGCTGTTGGGTATTTATTACTCACATCCAAGTGCCATGCTGTTTGGGAGCATGG